TTTTTTTTTTTTTTTTTTTTTTTTTTTTTTTTTTTTTTTTTGTTAATTTTAAAATTAAATTTTAAAACCAAAAAAATTGTGGAGCTTTCAGATTCTCCGTTATGATCGAAGATCGTTGTTCTAGGGTTTTGTTCTTGTATTAATTTTGAGGCCCTGTTTGGATTTTGTCGCCGTTCATTTCAATTTTCTCTATCTGAAAAGGGGGCGGATCAAGAGGAAGAATTTGATGGTCCAGTTGATGAAATCAGGGAATCTCTCTCTGGAGCCGGATATGGCGTCGCTTCGGGACAAGGCGCCGGTGAAGCTGGAGATCGAGGACTCTCTTGAAGAGGAGCATGCTCCGTTCTCCAAGCGATCGAAAACGGCAACGACGTTTTCTCCGGTACGTGGAATCGGTTTTTCTTTTGCTTCGTTGCGAAGAAATGACGGGGAAGGGATTTTTTTTTTTTTTAGTCCTTGGAACTATTTTGAGAAGATGAATGTTATGCTTTTCAACTTCGAATTTGACTATTTAATTACCTGATTTTATTTCTCTTCCATTTTTCTTAATGGAGATTGATCTTCTTCCGTATGCTTATTTGGTATTCATAGTTGTGTGATATATGAGAATCCGAGTGTAATTTTCTGCTTATTCTCTGTGTTTTTTTCCCCCGAGGAGCGAGATGAAATGGTATTGTGATTTTCTCATCAGTTGAAATGATTTTGGCCTTTTTGTTGGTTGTTTTTGCATGATCTTATCAAACGAGAAGCATGGAAGTAGTTGTTCCGATGATTTTCCCGTAGTGCCTTCACAATACAATCCGCTTGATGAGCCTAGTCTTCTTGGTTTGCGGTTGAGGAAGAGCCCTTCCCTGTTGGATCTAATTCAAATGAAGCTTTCTCAGTCGACTGCTGCTTCGAGCCATGTGACCGAATGTGAAAGCTTCAACTCTTCCATAAAAAAGGATAATATAGGCACTGCCATTCCGGGCTCTATCGACAAGCTTAAAGCGTCGAACTTTACTGCATCGCTCCTAAGAATTGGTGG